CTGCTGCAAATGGGTTTCCTTTCATTAGTAGCAAGCCTTTTCACCTCCACCCTGGGAGGTGAAAGGGCTGTCTGCTCTTTCCAGCTGCTTTGTACATTTTAGAATGGCATTTGACACTGATGCAGAGGGATTGCTCCACCATAGCTCACACATACCTGGGACCAGGGCCTGCGGGATCCATCATAGGGGAAGAGAGGAATCTAAGTGTCCTGAGTAATGTGAGCTGCCTTGGGGAGTAAAGTTGAGAGAGAGCTGTTTTCATCCTGACCTCTGGAGCTGCCAGTTCACATTCTCACTGGGCAGCGCAGATTAACAGCTGCAGGGGTTCTCTCCACCCAGACGCCTGAGACCTGCCAGCCACCTTCTGCCAGGAAAGCCTTTAGAAAAGTAGGTGTTTTCAGCACTCCCGGATGGTCTGAGTTTATATAATAAACTGCTTCTTAATTTAAATTCCCCAGGGTTCTAATTCTTTTCTATATTTCCTACGCTGTTTGTAATAGTAGTTTCCATGGGTGTCCCTAAAAGTGTGTTAGAGGCTGAGGATGTAGCTCAGTGATAGATCACTTGCCTGGCATATGTGAGGCCCTGGGGTTGAACACTGGCAGCTCAAACAGAATAAAATGAAGCAGGGTGCAATGTGCATGCCTGTAATCCCAGCTACTTGGAAGGATAAGGCAGGAGAATTTCAAGTTCACGGGCAGTTTCAGCAATTCAGTGAGACCCTATCTAAAGATAAAAAATGAAAAGGGCTGGGAGTGTAGCTCAGATGTAGAGTGTACCTGGGTTCAATCCCCAGTACTGCTTGGAAAAAAAAAAAAAACATGTTAGGAGTTTAAGACAACATTTGCCATGAGGATGCAGAATTGAGACTAATGCTCACTTCTATCTGCCTTTGAAATCCAGATTGACATATAAAACACACACGCCGTGTCTTCACTTCTTTCTGGAACTGATTCTCTAGTTGTTGCTTTTCTGCCTGCAGCTAATGTGTACTCACCTGAGGCATCAGCCCACCTCCACCTGCACAGCCAGCAGGACATGCAGATGGCTGCCTTGTAGATAAGGGGCTTTAGTACTGTCAACATGTGGGCCTCTAAGGGCATTAGAAGGTGTGGTATGGGTCAGTGGGGAAGAGAAAGCCTAGAATCAGCTAGACCTGGGTTCAAGTTCCAGCCCTGCGAATTATTAATTTTATTAATTGTATTACCTTTAGCAAGACTGAACTCCAGACTTTCTAAGTTCCTCCCTGCTCAGGGAGATGAAATGACATCACAATGTGTGGAGTACTGGCTGGAGGAGGGACCCCTCAATGTAGGGTCTCCACCTGCCAGGATATCTTACCCACCTTGCATAGAAGAGTGGAAGCTTAGCATTCATTCATTTACTCCACAAATTCTTGCTGAGCACCTGCTAGGCATACCTGCACTGTTCTAGATGTGAGGTGGCATTGAGCAAGGCCCACAATGTTCCCCTTCTCCTGGAGCTCATATACCACCATCTGTGCTTCTTATCATAGGGATTATTTCCAAGGACACAAAGGACCTTGAAATCCCAAACAAACATATTAATTTGGATCTGCTCTTCTGACATAGATACTTGGCTGGGCTTTATTTCATAGACACCACTTTATTGTAACTGCTGTCTGATATCTAGGAAAGAATTAAGTCATGACTTAGGTCTAAATCTCATCCCATGTTTGCTTTCCAAGAGAAATAGTGGCTTTAAGTTACTCCAAATATGAAGTTTGTTAAGGGTCCCACTGACAGAAGGGACATGTGATATGGAACATGTTTCATCTGCAGTGGCCACATAGGGCATTAAGAGGCACACTGCCCAGGGGCTCTTGTGGAACCATATTGAGTAGAGAGGTAGTGCTGGGCTCCAAGGTTGGGTGGAGCACAGGTGATGCAGTGTGAACCAGGAGCTGGGCGTCCAAAGGGACTCTGCTATATATTGGTCCAGTGACATTAGTAGGCTGGCCCTACCTCTCTCCACCTCAGTAGCCTCAACTCATAAAGTGACTCTCATTAATTCCATTGACTATGGGGTTTTAATAAGGACCAAATAAACTAATAAGGGGGTTCCTTGGAATGAACACACCTACGCACAAATTTAACACTTAGCAACATCATTTAAGACCATCTCGTGGTGTCTATCCTGATGCACTGGTATCCTTTTCATGCTCATTTTTACCTGAGCCATTCATTTCCTTGATAGCAAAAAAATGGCATCTACTACCAAAGAAAGTGGCACCTACAGCCATGTCTCTGGAGCAGAATTTAGTCCATTGCATATGAAAACAAGGAGAGGAGAGGGAGACAAAGGAAGGGTGTGGGGGAGGGGAAGAAGGCAGACATGCAGGTTTCGTCCTGTGCTAGAGACAAACCATCTACTTTCTCTCTCAGGAATGAGGCAAGGCCAGCTGGGGCAGAAGTCAGTCCTGTCTGCCCAGGACAAGTCCTGGCATTCACACTCAGCCAGGTGAGTGGCCTGTTGACTTTGTCCTTCATTGTGTAAGGCAGCCGACAGGGTTAGACACACAGGACAGGACATCAAACCAGAGCCGTAGGGGATTCAATGCCAGCCTGGATGTGGGATGGGGTAGGGACCCTGGAGTCCAGAACTGAGCAAAGGTCACCTCAGAGTCTGGGGTAAGGGATGGGATAAGTCTTCCAGGGCTCCTGGTGCTCTGAAGGGAGGACTGAGCCTACAGGACGTTTTACAGTCAAGGCTGTTCATGCCAGAGGCTGGCTCATCTTTTGCACTGAGTATGAGTCTGGAGCCTCCAGCTCCTCCCTTTCTATTGCTTCTGTGGAGGCCCTCAGAGTGAGAATCAGCAATTGATCTGGGGACACCAGAGGAAGACTGCTGAGCAGTAAGGGAGGCAATCACCCAGAAAGGCAGCAAATGTCATGGCTGGGTAAAACTCAAAAAGCAGGGAACTAACACTCATCGAATGACATCTCATCAGGTACCTTGTATTGCGGCTAAGCAGCCTAAGATGCCCTGGGTTGCACTGGCTCTGCTCTCACCTCCTGGAAGCCTGCTAACCTCTCTGGCCCTGGTTTCCTCATCTCACAGCTGAGGATGGTCAGCTGGGACTTTTTGGTTGCAGACATTGGAAACAGATTGTTTCATTTATAAGAAAAGGAAATTAGGGGCTGGATCTAGGCACTACCCAGAATGAGAGGGGCTGCTGCAAAAAGAGGGGACTTAGAAATTTCAGGCCCAGAATTCTTCCAGGAACCCTGGAGCCCAGAACCAAACCAAGGTCATCTGAGAACCTGCAGCAAGGACTGGGATAAATCAGATCCTGTTAGGAACTCAAATTCTGGGGACAGTCCAACTGCCTTTTAGGGTCACTCAGCCACACGTTGGCTGGGTGAAGATATGATATCCTTCCACTTAGGACCAGGTATAGCAAGATGGAGATTGTTCTCTAGAACAGAGCTGGGGTGCAGTACCAGAAGGGGTGAATGGCTGCTGGAAGCCAAAAATATCACAGAAATCCACCAGAGGGGACAATATTTCCCTCTGATACCATTGGTTGTCGCAAACAACAAACGAGATGGAACAGTGGAGTTAGCACAGTGGCCTACCTGTCCTGAGGAAGCAGCATGCCTAGCCACTGTTCCACTCATCTTAACCTCTGGGCTGCGGGGTCCCACAGCAGCACCCCCTCCATGAGGGCTGCGTTCCAAGACCCCCCCCCATGGATGCCTGGAAACTGTGTATGGTTTCAAACCCTATATATACTATTTTTTCCCTATACATATATCTCTACAATAAAGGTTTAATTTATAAATCAGGCATAATAAGAGACCAATGATAAAAACAATACAATAGAACAATTATAACAAAATATACAATAAAATCACTATCCTTGCACTTTGGGGCCATTATGAAGTAAAATAAGCGTTACTTCATTTCGAGCTCCGTGATATGGCAACAGTAGATCTGATAAGTGAGACTGCTGCTAAGAGACGAACGGGTGGACCAACAGGTGGGTGGTGCATACAGCGTGGATATCTAGGGCAAAGGGATGATTCACATCCAGGGTGGGATGGAGTGGGAAGGTTGGAGATTTCATCATGCTATGCAAAAGAACATGTGATTTAAAACTTATATTGCCTATTTCTGAGATTTCTTTTTTTTTTTTTTTTTGGATACTTGTTGACCAAGTATGGGTAACTGAAACCACAGAAAGCAAAATTGTGGATAAGGGGAGACTACTGTCTCTCTATTTTTCCACACAGAAAACTAGGACTAGAATTGCCCAAGATTACCTAGATGCAAGCCATATTCTGACCCTGGACCTGTCTCCAGAGCCAACCACCTAAATTATGGACCCTTATATAAAATACAGGTAAAATACCCCTTGTTCAAAAGGCAGGAAGAAATACTGGTAACTAAAATGTAAAGTTTTTTTTTTTTCCTTTTGCCAGTGTCTTTTTCTCAATTGTCTTAGTGTTTTAAATTTTCTACTTAATGTTATTCCAAGTACAGAAAAGTCAGAATTTTAGATGACGAGTATTAGTTTTACTCTCCTTTATATTATGCAATGCCAATTTTAAAAATTTTTTTATTGATTTATTTATTTTTGATACTGGAGGCTAAACCCAGGGGCACTTTACACTGAGGTACATCCCCAATCCTTTTTTTATTTTGGGAAAGGGTCTCACTAAGTTGTTGAGGTTAACCTCCAATTTGGAATCCTCCTGCCTCAGCCTCAAAAGACTGGGATTACAGGCATGTGCCACGATGCCTAGCACAATGCCAGTCTGTGCAAATAAGAGCACTTAATTTGAATTTGGAATTTCTGCCTCGTTTTCAGCATAACTGGTTGGCCAAGTCAGGGAAGTAATAAGAAAAGCTGTGGTAGTGTTCCTTCCCTGTTCCTGGGTGTCCATGTTTAAAGCAATAGAACAATTATAACATTTGATTTGACTGGAAAGTGGGGTTTCTTGGGGTTTTCAGCATCATAGGTTGAATATGCTTACCTTTCATCTGCTCTGAATCTTGCTGAATGATCATTCATCATGCGTCTTCACCTTTCTGCAGGAAGGAAAGAGAGAAGCCAAATGTGGAGAACAGCCATCTAATGATCATATGCCTTTGAGTGTAGCCAGTTGTGTAGCCTACCATCTACGTGACCTTGTGTGAGCCCCGCACTGGTTTCCGCCTCTGTTTCTATGAAACTGCAGTCCCTGCAGGCTTTCATGAGAATTAAAATCCCAAGGGACATGTTGGCAAGGCAGGTCCCCAAAATAGAGTGATTGCTGGAAATGTCAAAAGCAGGCTTCCAAGCAGCTGAAAAGAGATGTGCCTCGTTTTAGGCAAACAGAATTCACAGAAACAATAACCTTTGTCTTCACTGGTTCAGATTTTTACTTTAAAGAAAGAGCCATTGTATTCAAGAACAGGAAATAGGATTTGGCCCACAAATATTTTATTTTACCACTCTGCCTCAGGGAAATTTCTTGGTCAATAGCCTCCCCCTTAAAAAGCTTGTGGGAGCTCAGAGGCCTTCTTCATTTGAACCCAGGCAGAGCCTAGGCCTGGCAGAAGCAGAACCTTCCAATGTCTACAGGAAATCACCTCAGGCAAAGCCTGTGGGTGGTGAGCTCCAGCCGAGCAGGTTGGGGCTGCTGAGAAATCAGTGGGTGCATTGGTTTTTAGGGTTAGGGGCATCTTCAGAAATCTTCTCTCTGTCCACTCAGAAATACCATCTATTTTGCAATTAAAGACCCATTCCTTGAGCCTTTCCTTTTGTTCTGAACTGTGTGCTTAGAGCCCAGAATATCCAGAATTCTCTTTGGGCTGCGCAGTTAGACCAGGTGTGGCGCATTGTCTGTGTAATAAAGTATTTAAGCACTGCCCCTGCCTCATAGACCCAAAGGCCACCACCCCTCCTTAAGCTGTTCTATGGAAGCTGGTCCCTATTAAGGACACAGCAAAATCCCTTCCCTTGTAGTTAATTGCTAGGCCAATGAGCCCATTCATTACCACTAAAGCAAAGGCAAGAGAAGTAGCTACTGGCTGTGCCTGTACCCTGACCCCACCCACCACACATGTGGAGAGCTCCAGGATTGGGGGTTGGGAGCTCTTAGAGCAGTGAGTTAGATCAGGAACCTGTCAAGCACAGCAACCACAGTACAAGCAAATGAATTGGGCACCCCCATATGACAGCCTGTCTGGCCCACACTCCACTCCTCCAGGAAGCCTTCCTTGATGTCTCCAGGCAAGGTGGATTACTCTTCTTGGAAACTCGTATAATATCAATAATGTGAATCATAAGTACATCTGTGATTAGGAACACAGTCTGCCTGTCTTCCTGGCCTTGAGACCCATCTATCTCTTGCACTTGCTAGGTGTGTGACTTTTGAAAAGTTGCCTGACTTCTTTGTACCTCATTCCTTCACTTATAAATGGGAATAGAGAAAAAGTCTATTGCATTCGGGGAAATGATTTGATATACACACAGTGCTTACAGCAGCATCTGCCATGGAACAAGCCCTTGATGACGGGCTCTTTAATAAGCATGTAACTTTTCTTGTGGTATACATAACATAAAATTTTACCATTTTATCCATTTTTAAGTGTACAGTTCAGGGGCATTAAATATAGTCACGTGGTTCACCATCATCACTATCCATTCCCAGCACTTTTTTTTTTTTAAAAAAAAGAGAGAGTGAGAGAGAATTTTTAATATTTATTTTTTAGTTCTCGGCGGACACAACATCTTTGTATGTGGTGCTGAGGATCGAACCCGGGCCGCACGCATGCCAGACGAGCGCGCTACCGCCTGAGCCACATCCCCAGCCCCCCAGCGCTTTTTCATGTACCAATTTAACGGTAAGCCTCCACCCCCTCCTCTCAGCCCCTCAGAACCACAACTCTGCTTTCAGTCTCCAATCAAATAACTTTGATTACGTGATGTCCTTTTTGTTGTTCAACAAATACTTATTGGATACCTACTCTGTACCAGGAGAGCACTCCCGGCAGGGTAGTGGACAGGAAGAGGTAGGTATGCTCCTGGGCCTGGGTGGAGGCCAGCATGACCAGAGTAATGGGCAAGGAGAGTGGGAACAGGTGAGGTCCAGAAGGTTCCAGATCAGACCCTGAAGAGCCCTGCCTGCCATGAGCAGGGATGGAAGCAGGACCAACTTGAAACTGATTTGAGGCGTATTCTCTGGCCTTGTGATATGCAAGTAATTGTCATCGGTTGGAACTGACACTTCCACCCATGTTTAGCTCCATGTGGCCAACTGAGGCTGGGTCATCTTTCCTGTGTGCCCTAAACTGCTGAGGAAGGAATCTGGGGATGTGGGGGTCATCAAGATGCAAAGTTTATGCCTTCATGAAATTTTTATTCCAGTAGGTTGAGACTGACAATAAGCAAATAAATACACAAGACAATCTCAGACAGAGATAATGTTATTGTGGAGAAAAATTAGCAGAACCTAGAAATAGACAAAAATGTGCAGTATGTGCTTTCAGTCACATGAGGGCTTAATAGGACCACCCAGATTCTTTTTTTTTTTTTTTTTTAAAGAGAGAGTGAGAGAGAGAGGGGGACAGAGAGAGAGAGAATTTTAACATTTATTTATTTTTTCTTAGTTCTCGGCGGACACAACATCTTTGTTGGTATGTGGTGCTGCTGAGGATCGAACCCGGGCCGCACGCATGCTAGGCGAGCGCGCTACCGCTTGAGCCACATCCCCAGCCCCCCACCCAGATTCTTTAATGCTCTGGATGATATACCTGTAGTTCACCTATCTAGTTGTTATTGACTTAAAGCTCAGACAAGGGGAAGTTGCATGTTAACTTGTAGGTTTCTAGCCAGTAAAAATGACCATCCCAGAAATTATGGTTTAGTCACCCTTTGTAAAATAGTAAGCATATTTGTATTTAATTTACTGATCTTATTTAATATTTTTTCTTTTTAATGCCCATAACATTCAATTCCTCTAACAAGCGTGGAACCAGCACTAAGCAATCTTCCTGGTTTCTTCATTAACAAGTTAAATTCTGATGTGTGTTCATTCTATTTTTGTATGAGTCCTGTTTTTAACTTTTGTAAATTATACTTTGACACTTTGAAGAGCATAAAAAGGGACAAGGGGATAGAATGGCTGGAGCGAGAGGTATTTTAAGCAGGGTGTTCTGGGAAGACCTCTTTGAAGGGGTGAAATCTGAGCAGAACTTGCATGATGAGAAGGAAACAGGCTCCTCCACCACGGGGAGAAGAGCATTCCCCGCAGGGGGAAGGGCAGGGAGGGGTAGGTATGCCCCTGAGCCTGGGAGGAGGCCAGCGTGACCAGGGCGGTGGGCAAGGAGAGTGGGAACAGGTGAGGTCCAGAAGGTTCCAGATCAGACCCTGAGGAGCCCTGCCTGCCATGAGCAGGGATGGAAGCAGGACCAACTTGAAATTGGTTTGAGGCTTATTCTCTGGCCTTGTGATATGCAAGTCATTGTCATCAGGCTGGAACTGGCATTTCCACCCATGTTTAGCTCAGTGTGGCCAACTGAGGCTGGGTCATCCCTCCTGTGTGCCCCAAACTGCTGCAAGCCTGAAGCCAGCTGTTCCTTCACCACCAGACCTTGGTCTCAGCTTTGGCCAGGAGGCTCTGAAGATGAAGGGGCTCCCTCAGGGCAGGTATGGAGATGGAGGGGTCCACCCTGGACTGGTTGGTCAGGAACCTAAGGGAGGTCCAGGGTTTGCCTGTGCGGTTCCCTCAGGGTCCAGCAATCTGCTGTGGCCACTGATGTGGACTTGGTCAGGGACCTAGAGCCCTGATGCCTGCTCAAAAGAACAGAAACCAGGCAAGGTCCTCTCTGATAAAATATGAATGATTGCTTCCTGTCACCATACACTCTAAGGTCCCCTGGACCACCCCAACAATGCCCTTCAAAACTCTTCTGCACAAATTAAGTCCTTGGGGCAGCCCTACTGAACGGCGCCCTCTAGTGAAAAATTTGTGTTCCTGTGGTAACCACTGGGGAAGGGATTGCTGGGGCCACCAAGGAGAGGGATCCTGTTCCTCAGATCTCTGCTCCACAGAGTCTCTGCTGTGTGCCAGGCACCACCAGCCACTGAAAAGTTCTGACAGCAGTGTGAAAGCAGGGGCTTTGCCTATTTTGTTCACCATTGGGCCTTGCCACATCATACTGGCTGGCATGTACTTGACATTCCGTAAGTACTTTTCTAATCAATGAAGGAAGAAACAAAGAGTGAACTAGATGGCAGCATCTGCACCTTAATGAAATCAACGTAGGCATGGTTCTGTGTTACTTTAGAGCACTCCCATGAACAGGAGTTAATCTATGTCTTTTAAATTAAGAGGCAGCTGTGTACAGTATCAAGAGCAAGAACTGTGGTTAGACTGCCCTGGTTCAATGCCTGGTTCTGCCACGTATCAACTCTGTGACCTTAGACAAGTTACTTAATCTCTCTGCTCCTTATTTCCTTTTCTATTAAATAAGAAACCCTCATGGTGTTGTCATGAGGGTTAAAATAATTAGATTTTGTAAAGCATTATAGAGAGTGCCTTTGATATAGTATGCATTATATTGGAATTTGCTAAATAAGTAAGGGAAAACTTGCTAACAACTTAATGGCTATCTACAGTTGTCCCCTGTAGCCATGGTTTTTGCTTTCTACAGTATCAGTTACCTGTGGTAAACTAAAGTCTCATAGTATTACGTCAAAAAGTCCCAAACAATTCACAAATTTTAAATTGCGTAACTTTCACCCTTCTTCTCTATCCCACCTTGGATCCTTTAGTCCAGTGTATCCATGCTGTATATGCCACCTACCTGTTAGACACTTATTAAGAAAAAACACAGTATATATAGTCTTCAGTACTGTGTTTTCAGAAATCCAACAGAGTGTTGGAAGGATCTTCCAGAATACAGGAGGACTAACTACTCTATTGAGCTCCCATAACCAGGAATGAGAGGATGTATTAGCTCTCTAAGATAATTAATAGTAACTGTTATCTACTGAGCACCTAATATTAACCAGTGCTATGCTAAGCACTTTACATTTATTATCTAATTTTGTCTTTAACTCTGTGAGCCCAGTGCAGTGGCACATGCCTGTAATCCCAGCAGCTGGGGAGGCTGAAGCAGGAGGATTGCAAATTTAAAGCCAGACTCAGCAAAAGTGAGGTGCTAAGCTCAGTAAGACCCTGTCTCTAAATAACAAATAAAAAATAGGGCTGGGGATGTGGCTCAGTAGTAGAGTACCCCTGAGTTCAATCCCCAGTACCCAAAAATAAAAAAAAATAAAATAAAATAACTCTGTGAGACAG